TTGCAATGACCATAGTACCTTTCCCAGGGACTAAGTCCTCATCCATTTTAGGAGAGGATTTTCTTTTCATCAGATCAAAAACACAGGAGTGAAAAGAAAAATAAATAAAAAAAATTCACAAGCACCATCAGCAATCCAGGCACTTGTAGACTGAATCTATAAATCTCCCTAAATCTCCAAATCTTCCCTGTTTGGAAAGCAGTCATGGTCCTTACTTCCTTCTCTAGGTCTGCTTCCTCTAGCCAAAGTTTCCTGTTAGCATCAAGAAGGTCTGGTTTTTCTTTGCAAACCAACCTCTCCGTTGATTTTATGGGTGTTTGTGCCCAGTAGGCACACATCCTGCTAGTTTCCAGGATGCTTTTTGAAGGTATTTTGGTAGTTTTGACTGAGATGTCAGGGACGATATCCCTGTTTTTTTTGTCTCTCTTTTTTTTTTCCTGCCAATGTGGTGTAACTACATAGAAAATAGCAAGCTCCCCTCAGAAGACCCTGGAGTCATCCAAGAGGTTTCTCTGGTGAGGACACCTTACACAAGTGATCACCAAGAATCTTTTAGGTGGCCTCAGAGCCTCAATACTGAAACAAACTAGAAATGGAGTACAAAAAGGGAGACCAGTATACGCATTTCCACAAGCTAGATGTGTGCAATAAAGAGATTTGCACATTATCTTCCTAGGAACAGTTGCAGAATATGTACCGAACTATGTACGTTCAAATAGCATGACAAAATTGAAATGGATTTGTTTCCTAATAACTTGTTGGGTGGGTTAGGAAGGTGTCAACACATATGAAAACTATGTAGGCTCTATTAAAACCACAGCTCACATTTGCAGTGCTCTATGGGATGAATGATTTTAACATTAATGCTCTTCAGTGTGCAAGCAATGCTTTAGTGCATCTTGCAGTGTAACGTTTGCAGTTTTCTCATATTTTATTCCTGCTACTTCTGCATCATTTCCTGAATTTTTATTGCAAATGCTTGTTCTCCAGTTAAAAAAAAATTGGATGAACTGTTTCTTTTCATTAGCTATAAAGGAAGGGCAATAAAAACAGTTTAACTTTGGTGCTTACCTTTTGGACATCACAGTTTGGTGAGATGACTCCTGTCATTTGTCTCTAGAAGGTGTATTTCAGCTTATAGATATCCTTTCTTTAAGAAATCTTGGGCTAACACGGCTTACGCAAAAGAGATTCTAAGCCATATACATGCGACTTCTGATCTCACGCTATCATTCTCCTTGATTAGTCTAGATAACTACACAATGATTAAAGCTATAAAATTGATTAGACACTTCTTATACATTGCTTAAAGTTTTTGAAAATATATCCATTCATTACTGGCTGAGATGATCTGTAGGTGGAATTAAAGTGGGGTTTTTTAAATATAATACAATATATCCCTCACAAATCCCTTACATGGATAGAACTTCATCTAAACACTAGCAATCGTCCTTTTGTTTGATCTAATTTGTCAGTCTTAAAAATCTGCTAGAGCTGTACATCTCTCTCTGATCTGAAGAAGTCTAAATTTCTATATTACACAGCCTGCAGTGGTATCAAAATACCCTGATCTCCTGTGCATCAGTTATGATTTATAACCAGAATTCTGAGGTTAACGATGAAGTTACTGCATGACTGAGGAACAGCCTGTGGTTAACTAGGCAACCAACTGTCACTATTGATCAATCTAACTCCTCTTTGGAGCATACGAAAACATCTGGTCTTTGGCAAAATATAACAGCTCAGCTCTTGGTTTGTCCCAATCTTCTGGCTATGCCTGAATATAATGACTAAGATAATTGGAATTTTTATTGCAAGGAACAAATCACCCTCTTGAAGTGAGGAATGGAACAGCAGACAGGTATTTGATATAGAAGCATTTTAAATATTATTTAAATGACACTGCTAGAAGACCTCCCTAATCTCTGTTGTTTTGAGAAAAAAAAAAAAAAAACAGGAGCACAGCGCTCCTTTCACACTTAAATGCCTGAACAGATGGGCTAGATAAAGAGCCCCTACTTCCTTCCTCTCTGGAACATGACCTTGTCATAGCTGCCTGATGATCATTATGATCATGATCAAAAGGACTGAAAGCCATTGCTCTTCATGACACTCTGAAGAGTGTGCCCAAAACACCTCTGGCCATGCCAATGGCCTCTCTCCCAATTCTTGTGGTCTAAGAACCAGAGTATTATGCAAAAAAACAGACCATAGTATCTCCTTTTCTCCAAAGAGGGGTGGGTGACCTAGATCTGAAATGGATGGAGGAGTTTGTCATGAGCAGTGAATTCTTGTGACGATAAGGGATAAAGGGGATCTTCTTTCACAGGTACCTAAGCTCAATGAGAGAAGAGAATAATAGAAATACCTTATTAAACACTCTAAAATTCTTCATGAAGGATCTTTCCCTCTCTGCATTGGATATAGGAAGAAATTAGAAGGTATTTTGGGAAAGGAGGATTACTTACTTAACACAAGAAGCCAAACATTTGTGAGGCGATGCCCATCTTAGCTGAACTGGATCCCACATGATTTCCTACTCAGATTCCCCAGAGCAAAGAATGTGTAGCTGGTACTACCATGCTCCAGGCATTAGTCAAGTCTAGGTGCAAAAAGCACCGAATAGTTCAGATTGTAAGGGCAAAACACTGATGTGTCTCTGTAGCTGTACAAAACTGATTTGACTCTCTCTCCTCCTCATAAGAACAGGGATGAAATCCTCCATTCTGCCTCCATCCTGCAGTCAGGGGTGGAAGGGTTTCTCTCCCCAAAATCCACGAGCAGAAATCTATATAAAGTCGAGATCTGTATCTTTCTCTTGACCATAGAAAACATCTCCATCCCTACCCTTCACTTCCCTGTAATCCTGCTCTTCCTATTGTTCTGCTACCCCCAGAAATAATGCAAGTCCTTCTTTCCCAGGACATCCTGCTCTGCTCCTTCATGCCATCTCTTTCCCCAAGATCTTGTCCAAGTCTGCTTAGAGCCTATATGGTCAGATGAGGATACATCCTAAAGTTATTCTCTTCTCAAGGATCATGAGGTCTGTTCTTTCCTTCTCTCTTACAGCATCATGGAAGATGCTGTTCTCCTTTCTGTTACTGGTATTGGGGTCTGCACACTAACGGCATAGGGAACGCCCATTTTGGACCAATGTGTCTGTTTCTATCCAGCTTCATGGTAATGATGGTGGTGACCACATGATATTTATAAATAGAATTGTCAAGAACGCCAAGAATTAAGACCATGTCCTTGATATAACTAACTTGGGCATAGGACCTTGGGCATAATAAATATCAATTTTGCCTCTGTTCTTCCCCGAGGAATCAGATTGAGCAATGATAACAGTCAGTAGGCCAATTAACCACAAAGTTTTTGCAAGCTATGAAGTAATTACAACTTATGTCATTTTTTCTCCTCCATTTTCTGCTTTATGACTAGAAGTCAACAGACAGGATATTGAACTATAACTTTTTTTATACTGCAAAAACAGATAATTCTCAAATATAAAAAGAAAGCAAAAGCTACCTCAGACATAATGGAATAAATTTAAGGGAAAATATTCCTAGGCATTTGCATATATATATACATATAAATATGTGTGTGTATACCTGATTCTGATCAGAAATGATGCATACTTAAGAATTTGTTATTAAACAAAGGAAAAAAATATTTTATCAGTAGCTAAATTAAGAGGCCAGTAAGAAACTGAAATATTTCAGTTGGGTTTTGAGGCTAAATGAACTGTAGGCCATGATGCCACTTGCAGAAAGATTTTGGTTAATTAAAGCCATCATTACTTCACATGAAAAGTAGAAAAACCTTTGTCATTCAAAATATCAAAAATATCATATATTCTTACGATGTAATTCAGGAGTCATGCATTAAAATGATGAATAAACAAAGGTTTGCTGACTTAAGTGAGATGCAAGCTAAAATATGAATAAAAAATAGTGGTGGTGTCTTTGCATACTTACTGTATATGATTATGTCAGCAAATAACTTCATGAAATGAAAGATCAGTAGGTAGAAGATCAGTAGATATTAGAGACTGTGTGGAGGCTCTTCACATCATCCCCATATAGATTTAGAGGTTTAATTTGGATTAGATTTTTCCATTGGAAAAAAAAAATATAAAACAACGAAGGCTGGGATGGATGCAGGAAAGGTCATCTGGCCTAGCTGTCCCCCCAAAGGAGACAATTTAAAAGTCAGACCAGGTTTCTCATGGCTTTGCCTAGTTGAATTCGAGTATATCCGTGGATGCAAATCCTACTTGCGTTTATTGTGGAATGAACAAATGAGAGTCTTGTGAAGGCCAGAAGTACAACAAGGTTAGCTGGAGTCATGGAGAACTGCTCAGTTGGAAGCTCTGCAACCCGAAGATACTGAGGCAGTTTCTGGCACTGAGCTTCCCTAGACTGCTACGTCTTCTGTTAGCTTGAGGGGCATACAAGGAACACAACCACTATACATCCCACCCTGTTTCTGGACATTTTATACTCTTTCCTCACCATGACAGGATGCAAGATCAATGGAGCTTTGTTTTAGCTTTGCATGTCCATTCTGTGCTATATTCTCTACCTATAGAACAGAAAATAAAGTAGCTGAGAATGCAAAGCATGCACACGGTTTGTATTGCAGTAGGTTTATTTTGCTCCTAACCAGAAGCAGCTCAAAAAATGTGCCAAAGACGTTTGACACACACCACAGTGGCCTAACGTATCTTACACAAACTGGAGTGTCACAAGAGGTATTGCATGAAGCACCTGGGATTTTCCTGAAGAAAAGTTGCAACAGGTCCAACAAGAAGCCTTGCATTTTTATTGGAAAAAAAAGAAATAATGTGATTCTGGTTGGATCAAAAGACACCAACACTTAGGTCACTTTTTGATTGGCTAAAATGTGCTTGCTGTCCAAAGAAAGCAGTTGCACTCCCCATACCAAATAGGTTATAAGAGAGGGTCTAGGTCCCACCATCAAAGCCCTCTGGAGGGAAGAGAACAAGAACAGGTCTTATTTTGGCTTTTGGGATCACCTAATACCTGGTAATGTCTCACTTCTTTTCAGTCTTTCTTTTAATGTGTGATGTTGTTTGTTTGCTTTTTTTTTTTTATCCTCAGGAAACTCTCTCTACATTGCTGACCTGAATCCATAGGTTAGTAAATTGAATCTAAGTTGTCTAGAAATTACACAGGTTGAGTAAGTGGTTCATAAAAGTACCAACACCTAGAATATGGTAAAAATACTATATTTTACTAAGTCCTAGGAAAAAAGCCCAACTTTTTCAGGTAACCTTAGAAAGCAAAGAGGTTTGTCATGTACATAAATGAATGGTGTCTTGCAGGAAATTAGACAATGTTTCATATTGAGTTTAAGAGCTTTATTACATTTTCAGAATGGAGTTAACTTTGTCTTCTTGTTTATCTTGATATTTTCAGAAGTATAAAAGATTGTATAAACTTCTAACCCTAATTCATGAGGATTTTTAGCACTAATTTCATGGCTCTATGAGCCACCAAACACTTCACTGCAGAAATATAATATTTCATTACAATTGAAATTACTGCCTTGCAGAAAGAAAAAAAATTGCAACAAAGTAGAAGATTCACTAAAGCCAAGATATACTGCATTAACTACTGCTCCTTTATCCATAAGTCCCCTTTTAGGCTACATTATCCCCTTTTGCTGACATTAGTTGCATTAAACATTGACTTTTTCAGTGAGGCAATAAATGTTTACTTTTCAGACTTCATTTCCAAGATCAATTGTGAGACATTTGATTGTATGCTTCCACTCAAGAACTGTTGCTTATATATGAAAGAAAAACTGAGCAATCAAACAATTAAGATAATTTGTTAATCGTATATCCGAAAAGCATGTCACCCCTGACATATATACATATCATATCATATCATATCATATCATATCATATCTATATTTTATATACACACACACACATATATATTTCCTTCACGAATGCTCTCATGGTAGTCATCATGCTTTGTGCGTAATAAGTAGTATATTTTGATTAATATTATATTTACACAGCTCTGATACCAAGGACTATCACTCATATGCCTTTCTTGGTCCTCTTCCTTCCAGTGATACAGTTGATCTTCAGTGATGAGGATCCTTTACCTACTCTTTTCTTTTCTCTTCTTGGCCATCCAGATTTCTCCAGGTAAGGTGGAAAGAGAGCAAAGGGATTTTGAGGGGGAAGTTTCTGTGATCCTCAGGTTAAGCTCCCTGGAACATTTTACTTGCTAATGGTTTAAGGTAGTAGAAACTGAGCAGGGGTTAATAAAACAGTCAGCTCAGTGCTTCTGCTGTTCTTTTTTTTTTCCCTGTGGAAATCCTTTCAAAGATGGAGAAATGGAGACTGCTGAAAAAAAACATTCCACCCTGTTGATATTTTTCTATGGAGATCATGTACAACCTCGAGCATTAGCCTCCCAAGCTTGTGTCTGCTGGCCATGTGCTTTGGATAGTAGCCTACTCAAAAGCAAATACGCGGGTAAAAATGAAGTCTGGCCATGCATTATTAAATAAAAACCGTAGATTAGAGCCTCTGAGGATATGACCCTTATTCTCAAAGCACAAGGACTTTGAATCATGTTGTAAACAGCCTTTGCCTGTTGGCTGCATCATTCCCCACCTCTATTTCAAGGCCAGGCATTCTGTCTGCATGACCATAGAGCTTGGGTTTGACGTAATTACAATGACCTTTCAACAGCGTAGACACCTGTTGACCACCTAGACATTTATGAGTCTGATTTCTTTCCTGGGGAAAAAAAAAATACTGTCGTTGGAGCACAAGAGTCCATGTAAAAATGAGTGTGCATGAGCATGATGCTTGGGATGTAGGGAAGGATAATTCTGTGAAAGTACCTCAATTACATATAGGGCAACCAAAGGATTCCACTTCTGCAAGATGGAGATCTACTTGGTGACATCCCATCAGAGTGACAATCCTTAGGGAGGTTGGTGGTGGAAGTAGTCCCTTGCCTTTTATTTGGACGAGTGAGAGAAAACCATGCTCTGAGCTATAGCCTTCTATGGTGCAGCTGCATAGCAAGTGATCATAAATATTGACAAAAGATTCTGGTTGCAGGACTGTCTTCACCCCGGCGGGACATGTTTTTCTGTAGGAAAGGAACCTGTCATTGGGGATCATGTCCTGTCCACTTGGTTAAAGTTGGATCTTGCTTTGGGTTCCGCTCTTGCTGCAAGTGGTGAGTACAGGGTTCATCAAGATTCACCAGCAGCATGAGCAGGCAAATATATTCTGCTCAGGTCCTCATCCCCAAGCTGCAATTTAATGTTCGGACTGAGTATAAGAAAAAACTCTTATAGCGTGGGGATGGGCAAGCACTGGAGGAGGTTGTGAGCAGAGCTCTACAGCACTCTTCTTCCTGAGATGTGCCCCATGAAATGCCCTGGCAAGAAGGGCAAGGTATGAATGGAAATATTAGCCCTGTGCTCAGTTCTGCTTGACCCCTTAATAGCGCCTCCAAAATATCTGGGTTTGGTATTTCCAGAGCTGAAGAGCTGGGTATATGGGGAACAGACCAGGGATTTAGTTACACTGCAGGGTGAGCACAAGCTTAAGTGCAATTGGTTGCGTGCAGAAAGTGTAATTGAGTGTTGTAAAAAGTATCCTACAAAAGATAACCTTGAATTTTAACTCCGGAGAGCATGTATTCATCCCAATATTGAGGGATACCGATTGAATTTCCTGCTCTGCCTGGAGCAGGATGAAAACATTGCTTCTGCTCACAGATAAGTGCTGTACAAAGACCTGGCCCGGGTGACTCCAGTCAGTTACTAGTCTGCTACAGATGACACTGGGTCAGCAGGAAAACATAAACGGACTGAAAGCAGGCAAGGAATGCAAATATGAAGATCTGATTTTTATTTCTTTGTGCAGGCCATGGGATGTAGAAAATCATCATTGACTGCCCACTCAAGAGCTCTGAAAATTGCTTCTAAATCTAGTAATTCTCTCTGAATCTCCTTGCTGCTAAAACCATGGGATATGGATACAACAAAGTCTCAAGCATCTGTCCTTTCATACAAAAAAAAAGCTTTATGAACATTGGCAAATCCAAGTGCATTAGATACTGCTTTTCTGCTTTTGAATAAATTGATGTTGCTTAGCATTCATATTGCTGAAACATGGATGTTTGTTGCAGGGTATGGGAGGTAATGATTCTGCTTGGGTTTTTACATACAAAATCCGTGGAGTAAAAAACACTCACACTCACTCAAAAAAGCACTCTCAGTGAGAAGCAGTTTCAAGGTAATGAGTAGATACAGTCTCCACAACTCAGTTCAATAGAGTTTAGAATCACCAAAGAATCACAAATATGAAAAGTGCTAATTAATTAATTAGCTAAAGTGAGCAAAATCTTTCTAGGACATCATAATTACTCAGTAAATAAGAGGTTAAGTCCTCTACTTGAGCACACTGGAAATCACATAAAATTGAAAATAGGTATTAAAAAATAATCCCTGCTGCTGCACAGAAAAAAAATCTGCAAGTTATCTGCATTGTATTATGGCACAGACAAGCATCTCTAACCCTGCTGGGTAAAATAAGACAAGATCTTATTACTAAATACTAAATAACAATTAAAATACCAGTAAGGACAGCAAAGTTGATTGAGATTCAGTTAGCTTGTAAATAACTACTTGCAGAAGAAATACTCTAAATATTAGCTGAATTTTGTCAGACATTTCATGAAAAACACCAGTAGTATGGGCAGGTGATTCTCAGAGTCAGACCTGTCCTTCCACAACTCCTTTGAACAATAAAAATAAACACTACGTGGTTATTTGCTGTCACCCTGATCATGCCCTGATAATTTTACATTGAGCAGTTCCCCTCCCATGCGTGCAATACCCAGGAGAAGCTGCTTGGGAGCAGGGGACCTGACACAGGTCCCTGCTGAGACAGGCACGTGGCTGCTCCCCCTCGGCTCTGCAGCCCCTGCAGGGCCACTGAGAGCTGGGCCAAGCAGCTCCTATTGCTGCTTTCCTGGGGCACAGCCACTCTGTGAGGCTCAGTGACCCTGTCTCACCTGGAAGCAGCACAGAAGCACAGCCAGGGAGGTGACCAGGTGCACTCCAGTTTAGCAAAAAGACAACTTTTTACAGCCCCCGTCTGTGTGGAGCAGAAAGGAAGACTCATGGGGAAAGGGTGCATGCTCTGGGGAAAGGGAGATCACCCCCATATGCACAGACAGCTCATGTACACACAAACAACCACAAGTCTGAGGACTCTTGGGGAACCATGGCTTGTCACGGCTCCCTGAGCAAGGCTGGGATGGTGTCCCCATCCCGCACAGCCTTGGACTCGTTGAAGCTCAGCTTTGTCTTCCATGGGGAATAGAAAGAGTTTCACACATTGTAAACACCCTGGGCGCTTTAGTCAAGCAGTAAATAGCAGAGAGGATCCTGTGGCTGTTCCACACTTGCCCTTCCTGCATCCCACAGTCCTCCCAGCAGCTGCCCAGACCCAAACCTGCAGGCCTTGCGCCGAGTCCCACCGACCTGGTGCTGAGCCCTTTTTCCTCCCATTCCCTGTTCACAGGCAGAGCCCAGGAGTAGTAAAAAGCACTGTGTTTGTATATGTTCCCCCTGAATTTGAGGAAAAACTTTGCTATAAGCACCAGCACAAGTTGTCCAGAGAGGTTGTGGAATCTCCTTCTCCGGAGATCTTCCAAAGCCGCCTGGATGCCACCCTGTGCCACGTGCTCCGGGTGTCCCTGCTTGCGCAGGGAGATTGGGCTAGCTGATCTCCAGAGGTCTCTTTTAACCTCAACCATTCTGCAATATGTTATGAGAGCACTCAGTCCTTATTCCCTGTGTCACCCTCACAGAGAGGGAGAACCTCAGAGGAGCTGCTGAGGGTTCCAATATCACCAGAGAAGCAATTCTTTAAATATATACTCTGTTAAGAATATAGAGGATGTCTACTTTTGGGGAAATAGTATAATCCTATTATAAACCTCAAAGAGCTACTAAAAGCATCTGTGGATATTAGGTGAAGAACTGTTTTTTTATATCTGTTTAAAACTCTGACAGTGCACCTATTTTCTGCCAGGAATCTGGGGCACAAGACAGAGCTTCCTGGGGCAGAAGGCAGCTGAAAGTGCCTTGGAAAGGAGGGGAAAATTAAGAAGTGGCTGGGGGCAGAATAACAGCACAAAATATATTTGACTTTCAATAGTAAAATCAAAAGCAGTTCTTCTGAAACTGGAAATCAAGGTTTTCTGTATACAGAACTCATGGGATACTGAATGATCATAATGCTTGAGGAAGAAGATAAGAGCTTGGATTCTGGAGAAACGGTGACTGCCCTGGGGCACAAAGAGGCAGCAGCACAGGGATTTTCCATGCTCTCAGGCTTTGGCTGACTTGTAAAGGCTGATTCACTGTGGCCTTAGTGATTACTAAGCTACTTATCTACCCTCTTGCCCCTGCCTGAGGAAGTTCCACACTGCTTTATGGCACAGTATCTTGGGCTGTGAAGATGTAACAGAAAGCCTGGAGTGACCAGGTCTTGAGGATGACCACTCCTGAGGACCTTCTCTAGCTCCATGGAAAAAAACCTGAGGGAACCAGAGAGTGGCTTTGTCCCACCACACACAAACACCTGGGAAGCATTGCAAGACACAGCGTACCCCACCACACTGTCGAGAAAGAGCAACCCTGAGATGAGCCATGGTGGGCAACTTGAGGACCACAAAAACCTCACCCACCCTCCTGCCCCACCAACAACCATTTGCACCTTCCACCAACTGCAATACTAAACTACACAGCTTTATTGAAGCAGGGATAAGCAGATACTTTTCAGCTGACACAAGGCCCTCGGTGTGGTTGCTCCCACACACGAGTGTCCTTGCATCCCATCAGGAGCAGCGCTTCACCTTCCATTTTCACATAACTTGGAGACTGCAGAAGCCGGAAAGGGTGAGGTCTTGAGGATCTCTTTGCAGGATTGAGAAGCAAGGGGCAAGTGCTGCTCAGACAATCCAGAGTCTCAACCAAACACGCTTTAGAAAGAAAGTAGACGGTAGTGTCACCAGCTTGTAAAGTCTTCCTCACATTCCCCTTTCTCCCAGCCACCTCTCCTAACTATCACACAACTGCAAGGAGACCTAACACTAAGTGGCCCAGAAGGAAGCTCCAGTGCTTACTGCAGATGACTCAGAGCTGTGTTTTGCTAAGCAGCTGCAGCCTCAGCTCCAAGGCTCAGCCTGGCCCCAGCACGGCAAGGGCCTGTGCCTCACACCACCCCAGGGTGACCTGTCATTCTTGGCCACCATGGTCAAGCTTCTGCCAACGCTGTGCAGGTCTCATGGTGCACTGACAGGAGTGGGAAATTGCTGCCTGACTTTGGCCTCTTTCATCCCTACATGGGTCATCTGCAAGCACACATTGCCATTTCTCGTGCTGTCCTGGGCTCTTCCTCACAACAGGAAGGCAGTTGAGATCTCCATGGAAGCCCTTAGCAGGGGCATGAGTTTATCGACAAAAAGAGCAATTTCTGTCTCGGCATGGCAACATCGTTTTTGTTTCTAAAACTTACTTTTTGCAGCAAAAGAAAAATCTTGAGCATTTTCCTTTGATAACAAAAGGGAATTTGCAATTTAGAAATCCACAATAGCCGTTTGTGCGAAGACATTCCTTCTTATTTTGTGGTGCAGAAGAGGATCCTGCAAATCAAAATGATTGAAAGTGATCCAGAATGGGATTTTTGTAAAGAATCAGTATATTGCAGAGGAATCAACAGTGCCCTGTCATGTTAGCCTCCCACTCAGACTCAGCATCAAACCCACAGTCTCCACCTCTTCAGAAAAAAGTTGCCATGTCAGTGTGTGTGAGAACAGAGGCAGACGGTGAAGAAGAGCAGTGGGAGATCATGGGGGTTCATTTTGCCCTTTTCTGCCTTCTTCACATCTTACCTGCAGTGCCCTGGAGCAAGAGGAGCAAGAAAGGGAAGAGAAGGTAGAGGATCCGCATGGCTGATGGCCGGCCCCGTGCTCCACGTGGCTGCAAAGGGAGACACCAAGGCAACAAGGATATGAAGGACCCCATGAGGAGACAGTAATGATGATTAGAGGATTACAGCTTCATGAACATCCTGGCAACAGTTATTTGGACAATATACAGGCCTTTTTTGGTTTTTGGTTTCATTGTCTTTCTCACAGATCTTCCTTATGCTTTCTCCA